ATTCCATACTCGCTGGGTAAGTGACCCTCAGACCAGAGAACAACAATACCAAAGAAGTTCTCCCACTGTGAGGCAGGTTCTGAACACCATGTCAGGCTCCCCAGCCTGGGAATCTGACAAAGGGACTGGGAATCGCCAGGGAATCTGGTCGTGCAGGCTAGTGGGATTTGATTATAGGACTTCCACAGGACTGGGGGAAACAGAGACTACACTCTTGGAGGGCACAAACAAAATCTTGTGCACACCAAGACCAAGAGGAAAGGAGCAGGGATCCCACAGGAGACTGAATCAAAACTGCCTGCTAGTGTTGGAGGGTTTCCTGTGGAGACATGGGTCTGCAGGGGCTCACCACAGGGAAGCATCAGGCGGGGAAGGTCTCCCTTGGAGTAAACCCTCTTGGAGTTCTCCATTAACCCTACCATAGAACCCAGGGCTGGGTTGCCTCAGACCAGACAACTAACAGGGAGAGAGTGCAACCCCACCCATCAGCAGATAATTGGATTAAAGCTTTACTGAGCAAGGCCCTGCCCACCAGAGCAAGACAGTTTTCCCCACCATCAGTCCCTCCCATCAGGAAGCTTACACAAGCCTCTTAAGCTCATCTACCAGAGGGCAGACAGAAGCAAGAAGAAGCACAGTCCCTTAGCAGCTAAAACAAAAACCATATTACAGAAAGTTAATCACAATGAAAAAGCAAAAAGTTATGTCCCGGATGAAGGGACAAGATAAAAACCCAGAAAAACATCTAAATGAAGTGGAGACGGGCAAACTTCCAGAAAAAGAATCAGAATAATGATAGTAAAGATGATCCAGGATCTTGGGCAAACAATGGAGAAGATGCAAGAAATGTTTACCAAAGACCTCGAAGAACTAAAGAACAGACAGATGAGTGCTACACTAGAAGGAATCAACAGCAGAATAACTGAGGCAGAAGAATGGATAAATGACCTGGAGTACAGAATGGTGGAAATTAATGCTTCAGAACAGAATACAGAGAAAAAGAAATGAAGACAGCCTAAGAGACCTCTAGGACAACATTAAATGTGTGAACATTATAGGGGTCCCAGAAGGAGAAGAGAGAAAGTACCTGAGAAAATATTTGAAGTGATAATAGTTGAAAACTTTCCTAACATAGGAAAGAAAATAGTCAACCAAGTCCAGGAAGCAGAGAGAGTCTCAGGCAGGATAAACCTAAGACAAACACACCATGATACATACTAATCAAAATGACAAAAATTAAAGACAAAGATAAAATATTAAAAGCAACAAGGNTAAAAGATGCTGGCTCCTAGGAAGAAAAGCTATGACAAACCTAGAGAGCATATTAAAAAACAGAGACATCACTTTGCCAACAGAGGTCCATCTAGTCAAAGCTATAGTTTTTCCAGTAGTCATGTATGGATGTGAGAGTTGGACTGTAAAGAAAGCTGAACATCTAAGAATTGATGCTTTTGAACTGTGGTGTTAGAGAAGACTCCTGAGAGTTCTTTGGACTGCAAGGAGATCCAACCAGTCAACCCCAAAGGAAACCAGCCCTGAATATTCATTGGAAGGACTGATGCTGAAGCTGAAGCTGAAGCTCCAACACTTTGGCCATCTGATGCAAAGAGCTGACTCATTGGAAAAGACCCTGATGCTGAGAAAAATTGAAGGCAGGAGGAGAAGGGGATGACAGAGGATGAGATGGTTGGATGACATCACTGACTCAATGGACATGAGTTTGAGCAAGCTCTGGGAGATTGTGAAGGACAGGGAAGCCTGGGGTGCTGCAGTCCATGGGGTCACAAAGAGTTGGACATGACTGAGAGACTGAACTAAATTGATCAAAGTGCCAGGTATTATTCTCAGCACTTTCCATACATACATTTATTTAGTCCTCATAACCACTCCATGAAAAAGGTACTGTTATCATCTCTGTTTTACCGATGAGGAAACTGGGGTACACAAAGGTTAAATAAGCTTCTTATTCATAGTTACTGACTAGAAGGTTCAAGAGGCAAGGTTCAAACCCAAGCAGGCTGGCTACAGAGCTCAGACCTGTGGCCACTAAAATATACTGCCTCTTATTCTGTTGTGTGTGTATGTCTCTGTGTATGTGTGTCTGCAGAAACTCTGCAAAGCCTGCCTTATTTAAACAGTTTTCTTTGATCACCCATTCAAGCACTGTGTACAGCAGAGGGGAGGCAGCAGCAAACAACAGGGATAAAGCTCAAAGAATATGTCTAGTTAAACAAGTATGAAGTCAGTAAGGATGCTGACCAGTTAGAAAGGGTACTAAACAAGGCAGAGCAGGCAGCCACATCCAAACCAGGATGCACAGGGAAACTTCCTGAAGGAAGTGACGTTTAAGCTAAAGCAGAGGAACAGCAGGAGTTAGCTAGGCAGGGTGGGTTGGGGGGTGGGGCTGGAGGGTGTCAGAGAAGGGGCCTAACCCAAGGTCATGAGGATGGCCAGAGTACATCCTGCCGGTTTTCTACTAAAGCCTCACTACTCCTGGATGTCACACCCCAAAGCTGGTCGACTTGTAGCCCCCCTGGTTGAGAGGACAAGATGTGCCACAGTACTACCCACCACCCTTTTCTTCCCCAGCTAGCTGCCTGGGCCAGGGTTTTAGAGGCACAGTTTCATGTAGGCACATCCCAGAACTAAAATTACTTCAGCAATGCCTGCAGCAAAGCTGGAGGAAACATCAGAAGACCAAAGCAAGTGGTTTTTTTTTTAACTGAATTTATGATGCAGAAAATATAATGTATTCTTTAGACATTTGTACTACCATAAATTACACATTATGGGATAATTATTAATGGTTTGAAGAGAAACAGTATAAATGAAATACAGCCAATATTATGAAAATGTAAACCATGTAAATCAAAATCATAAATAATTATTTCATTACTTAGAGGTCTTCTTAATATATATGTATGAAATTTCTTACACATACATACAATAAAAGCCCATGAAAACCATGACTCTGAAGCTAATCACTGTACAAATATGAAAATAAATCTTTAAGCTCAGTTTTATCTTCAGCAAGAGAATTGTGTGGTTTGGGCCTTATGCAAATCACATTTAGTATTAAATAATCAGATGTCACATATGTCATATAAAACAGCAAGTGGAAAAAAATAAATTATGAAAATGCACGAGGCTAAAAGTTAAGAGTGAAAAATGTTTCTATAGTCAGTGTTCTTTTCATGTTGAAACTAAAATAATAACCAGTGTGTCAGGATACATAAAAAAGAGTGTAGTGTAATTGTGATTTTAAAAGCTCTCCAAAAAAATCCAAACAAACAAAAAATAAAAGCTCTCCAAGGAATAATTGAGACAAGATGAATAGAAAGTGTAGCAAATTAAGTTCAAGTTAAAAACACTAGCTGTTTTTATTATTACCAAAAATAAACTCTAAATTTGGGAACAGCTTCATAAAATCAAATGTTGATAATAAACTTAGTTTCCTAGCAGGGCAGTGAAAGAGCTATCAGTAGCTTTTCTTTAAATAGGATCTCTAACCAGAGCTATAAGTCTAATTTGAAAGCTGTAAGTCTAATTTGAATTTTGTTGCAAAAATATTTATCCACGTTAAGATAGTTAAAGATATTTGCTTCATTTATCACAGGCACCCATGTAATCTAATCAGTTTGAGTTACTGCCCCTATAGTCCAGAAGACCAAGATAATACTTCTGTATCAAAGGTATATACTATTATATACATGTTGTAAGACACATATAGACACTTTGGGGGAAAATAAATAAAGACACAATAACATGTATACTAACACAGTTTTGTGCAACTGCATCAAACTCCTAAACTTGAACACCATATATCAACACACAGGTCTGTTAGGTCTGTTCTAACCTGGGCTCCACAGATGCCACCGAGGCAAACAGCAGTGGTCAAACTTTGATTGCACCATGGCACAAAAATAACCATCCCTCCTTGGATCAGTGTGACAGTTCCCCACCAGCAAGGTATTCTTTTTAGTAAAAAATGTAAACTTTTTTTTTTCCCCTCTGAGACCAAAAACCAGGAAACAGGAATCCATGGTAGAGTTGTTGAAGACAGAACCAACTTCCCAGTGAAAAAGAACAAATCCCAATTAGATATCACCAGTAGAGAGAAGGCACACTTTGAAAAGCTAAATGGATGTTGTGGCTATTTATAAGCTTTGTTAATATATTACCCAATTGTCATTAAAAAAAAAAAAAAAGCCTTGGAGAATTTAAGGTCTGGTCATAAAAATTGTAAATAGAGTTGTTTTAATTCTATAAGAGGGATGTTTTTAGCTTGCGTAGTACAATAAGAGCTATTATTTTTTTCAGCAGGCTACTTGGGGCCTGGACCTATGAATCACGTTAAGTTCAAGTCTCTGGTTGGGAATAACTTGGTTGGTTCTGGCAACTGAAAATTGAAACCAAAGACCATGCCTCGCTGACCTACCCTGGGGTCAGGTATTGACTCCTTTGGCTCTTGGAGACATTTCAGTGGGGAAGTCGGGGAGGCAGCACAGCTTCTAGGAGAGCAACCCCTGAGGCTGTTGGTGAGGATGAGTCCCGAGTCACCTCAAAGGACTGACTCACCTGCACCCTAACCACAATTCCTCTTCAAAAGAGATGATTTTTCAAAATGACACATAACATTTCTTTCACTGTTCATTATTTAAGGATGTGAATGCTGGCAGCCAAGGTGTTAGGGTATCTGTTATAGAAAAGAGATTATGCTCTTAAGCCATGGGGAGGTTTGAAGTTGCATATTTTCATTTGGCAAAATGATAAATAGTATATTTAAAAAACTATATATACACATATATATAGTTCACATACCATAAGATTCACCATTTAAAGTATACAATTTAGTGGATTTTAGTATATTCACAAAGTTGTGCGACATTAGCACAATATAATTCCAGAACATTCTCATCATCCCCAAGGAAACTATATACCCATTAGTAGTCACTCTCAATTATTCCCTTTTACCAGCACCTGCAGTCTCTTGCTGTTCCTTTTTTTTTTTTTTTAAGTGAAGTGGGACAACTTTCCTGGGCATTGTATTTTCAGTAGCATGTGGCTTTATACTTTTCGTTAGAATTTTTAGCAGTGAATTCAAACCATGGTCTTTGTAAGTATTCTGAGATTATAAAACACCCTCTTTAATATACAAACTATTTTTGTCCCCCAAATGTTTTCTGTATATATAAAGCAATAGATTTTTCTATCTCCACTGGAACATAAAACATTGCATTTTTTTCTCAGTTAAATTCTATTCTACACAATTAAATTCTGTTCTATACAAGAAGTGAGAAAAACTGATACTTAAATATTTAAAAAGATGAACGACCAAAGTCCTTATAAACCATGGGCCATCACACTCTCCTTCTCACTCCTCAAAGAGCTTCAGAGCTGAGAGCGCCGAGGCCTGAAAGGCCAAGCTGCTTGTTTACAGATGAGGAAATGGATCTAATGTGGGTTGGTGACAGGTTCAAGACCAGAAGGCTGTTTACAGCAAAGGTAGGATGCTAACCCCCCTTTACTAGTTTTCTGTTGGCTTGGCCAAAAAGTTTGTTTGGGGTTTCCTGTAAAGTTGAGAAAAACCTGAACGAACTTTGTGGCCAACCCAATAGTACTGAATATGGGAAGTAAATGTCATTGGTTATCTACCACATGAATCTAATTATATCAGTGAATTTCTTTTATAGCTTTGATCTGAGCATAAAAAGACTTTCTAAATTTAAGACAGGCATATGTAACCAGGGGGCCCAAATCACTCATTGAAACAGCAAAAAAGAGCTGAGGTTCTGGAGGGACCCGAGAGCACAGTTCAGATTCCCCACACTGTAACTCTCCAAGTGTCTGTAGGATGTACCACTTCATGTAAGAAGCAAGTAAGTCACGTATATTCAGTACCCTGGGAATGGAGGCTTTGTGGGCCAAGGATGTTTTGGAATTAACCATTGCAACAGTTCTTCATCTGGGTTGACTTTTTGGAACTAGTGCCACTCAGATTGGTAATGGATTTGCTGTCATCCTCATCAGTTCTTTTTTTCACTTCCCTGGAGAGAGAAAGAGAGACATACAGACAGAGAAGGAGATTATTGAGGTATAAAATAGAACCATAAACAACTCGGTAGAAATAAAACTGCACTGCTAAGTACTTGCTGTGTGCTATCCAGACAGGGTGCTAAATGCTTTGCAGGTGTTGACATTTAATCCTCACAGCTATATGACTTTATTGTGTCCCATTTTATATGTGAGAAAAAGAAGGCAAACAAAAAATGTTAAGAAATTTCCCTTAGGTCACATAGCTGAAGAAGTGGCAGAACTTGGATTGCAACCACACAGGTGAGCTCCAGCCATCTGCATTCTGAACAGTAGGCTACACACTCATGCACGTACACAGAAACACATACCCAGGTGCATACACACATGTGCACACACTCACAGGCACACAGACTACTGTTGCTCTCTCCTGTGGTTATGCATGGTGTAGTCTGCCACACACAGCTCATTCCTTAGGACTCTGGAACCTAGCTTCCACCCGCAGCTAATGCTTAACAAAAGCAATGATGGCTTTATAACCATTATGTAATAATACTTAATCATGGAGATAACAGCAGATGGTTAAAATCCAAAAAATCCTTTTGTCTCTTCCTAAATTTCTTTTAGAATTAACAGAGGCAACACTGCACCAAAGATCTCCATGATCCTGTGAAAGCCCCCTAAGGAAGTCTCCTACCCCGGGGATGCTTGTGAAATACACACATTCGGAAGTCCCACCTTAGACAAGCTGAATGGAAATGTCACGTGGTGAGGAGTGTGTGACAGCTTGTCCCCAAGATGGCCCAGAGAATTCCACCTTCCCTGTCAGGGTCTGCCATTCCCCCACTAGTGGTGAATGAAGCTTGTGCTGCTCCCCTGTGCTCAGGACCAGCTCTGTGACCGCTCAGACCAATGGAAGGGCGAGGGAATGGTGTGCTGGCACTTCCACACGAGGCATGAATAAGGCCTGATCATTCTGAGCTCCCATGTAAGAGGCCGAGGGCTCCTCACTGGATAGAGAACAGCAGAGACGTCCTGGGGGCTGAGATGCCACGGGAAGGAGCACCTGGGCAACGCACAGCAGACCCCGCCACAGTCCGTGTCCATGACCGCAAACGCATGAAACACCCGAGGGAGCACAGTCAAGGCCCCTCCAGCGAGATCCAGGCTCCTCTGGTAATTTCAGAAAATAAAAGTTGGGATTGTTCCAGGGGACTACATTTTGTGTGCTCTGTTCCCAGATCCTGGGAACTGGCATGTTCCCAGCACAGCAGTGCTATTTAATAGAATGTGATTCATATATGTAATTAAAACATTTTTAGCAGTCACAGTAAAAAGTGTAAAGAGAAATAGGTCAAATTAATTTCATTAATATATTTTAATAAACTTGGTATTACAACAGTACTATCACTTCAGCTTGTTACCAATAAAAATATTCGTGAGGTATTTTACAATTTTTATACTGACTTCAAAACCCAGTATTTATTTAATACACCTAGCACATCTCAGCTTGGATAACCACACTTCCAGTGGATAGTGGCCACTAAACTGGTCAGCACAGCCCCAGAAGGAGCTGATGTGCTAACCTTTGAAAACCACTGCACCATGAGCAGGAAAGAAAACAGAAACTAGTTCTTGTTGAAGACCAGTTAATAAACGATATGCTACACGTTTTCATGTAGTCCTTATTACACACATCATACACACTGTCACGTGACAGGTGAGCATCACTGTCTTCACAGATGAGAAAACAAAGACTCAGGAAAAGGAGGAGGATACACAGTTTAACCCATAACACCCTATAAGGCCTGGTTCAGATTTATGACCTCCTGAACTATATTTGTATTGCTTAAACCACTAGGTTAGTAGGAATTTGATACAGTGACAAGAGAAAACTAGTACAGCTTACAAATGCAAAATCTTGACCACTGGGTCATTCAGCAAGTGTCCAACTTATGCCAGGCTCTGGGATCCTCAACCTGTGAGCTCTAAAGAGAGAGCCAGATATCTTCTAAATAAATTGTTACTAGGTCCTGAAAGCTGCTAACACACAAGCACAGTGGAGCCGACCTACTGGCAGGATAGGAATTCATTTAAAGAGGAAGGGAGGTTCCAGGTTCAGGGAACAGCTTGCATAGAGACAAAGAGGAATAAAAGAACCTGGCCATGACTGGAGGCAAAGTTTGCTGTGTCTAGAGATTATTATTCATTTGGGAATCAAGAAGAGATGCAAACAGAAAGGTAGGTGAGATCTGGCTCTGGGGGACTGATCAGTTCAGTTCAGTCGCTCAGTTGTGTACGACTCTTTGCGACCCCATGAACCGCAGCACTCCAGGCCTCCCTGTCCATCACCAACTCCCGGAGTTTACTGAAACTCA